TATATATATATATATATATATATATATATATATATACTTAACATAGAATTATGAAATACGGTATATAAAAAACTATCCACGCGTTAGTTGAGGAGATCATAATTTGATTTTAACAATTATCATATTCGCAAACTATTTATGTAAAATAATGCTAACAATTTCGAGACATTTGACAGACGACGGCATATTGGAAGTTACGAAGTTGTCCCTGGTTTTTTTATGTAGTTATTCTCGTCTTATTCAGTAAGATAGATCAAATAAATACTTGAGCCTCATATTTCAAAGAAAACATACTTGTTTATGTAGGATGTGACATAAAAAAAACATATTATAATTTATAGTACTGAAATTAGTAGACATTCGAAAATTTTTCGAGTTTTTTAACAAATAAATTGTTATAAAAAAAATTTTTAATGTTTACAAAAAAACTCCACTTGTGAAAAATTTTAAAAACTATGAATGCAATTTTTTTAAATATTCTATCGGTAATAAATACTAGATTAAAAGTGATAATGATTTGTTGTCAATTGCACGACTCATAAAGCGAATTATGAGAGAACTATCCTACTGTAACTTAAAAATTTCGTTGAAGTATAGTAAAACAGAATATTACGCACCCAGGGAGGAAAGATGACACTGAAGTTAGCAGACGTCTAAAAATTTTTGATTTTTTTTTTTAAATTAAATTACAACTAAAAAAATATTTCTAAAATATTGCACTTGTAGTTTTTCAAGTTCTTTACATGTGAAATTTTTTTTTTTTCAATTGTTTAATTGAAATTTCTTCAATAAAAAATTTCTAAAAATTTTTAAATGTCAGCTAACTTCATTTTCATGAGGAAAGTAGGACATTTCAACCCGCGCAGTATGTCCAAGCGCGGTTTGAGATATCTTACTATCCTCCCGTGGTGCATATACTATTTTTTATTATACTAGGACCAAAAGTTCGATGATAGTTAAAATTTAAAATAAATAAAAATAATATGTGGTTATGACAAACAAGAAGATGTAAAATTCTCATTTGTTTTTTTTTTAATATTAAGAACACTTATCTGATACACTAAAAAGTTTGGCGATCCAGGGGTGAAGCACTGGCGGGTGAAGGAGGGGGGGGGATGAAAACAAAAAATTTTTGTTAATTGAAAAACTAAGAATTTTTCTAAAATATAAAACATCAAGTATTTTATAAAAAGACTTCTAAGAGATCTATGTTAAATTTTGTTTTTTTGGTCAAGATCCATATAGAGTCTATATTATCGACATCAATAAAAAATAAAATTGCTCCGAAATTAGCAATATCTTCAAAACCAAGCATCATTTCGAACAATAAGAATCATCGTTCAAGTCCATTATGAATTAATATTAAGTTGTTTAATGAGATATAGAAAATTATTTTATATTGTAAAATTTCAATATTTTAAACAATTTTTCATAGTCCAAAAACGTTTTTGTATGCATGAAAAAAATTAACTTGAATCAAGAAAATAATTTTGAAGAACTTTATCGTATTGATTTGAGTAAAAGAATTCTTAAATCAAAAAATTTGTCTTGGTTGAAAGAAACTTTACTTGATTCAAGAATTTTTCATCTTGATCCCAGACAATGAAACTTCAACATTATTTTTTTGGTCAAGAATTTTTTACTTGATTCAAGTTGATTTTTTTCAGTGTAGGTATATTATTACAATTCATTTTTTTTCCCGCTAAGAAAATTGAAAATTTTCGAAAAAAGGGAAGTTATTGATTTCGGTCCGATTTTCGAAAATCGAATTTTCATCGGATCTCCACGTTTCGAGGTCCCAAGAAGCCATTCTGACTATTCCCGCCGAGATGTCCAGCCGTGTGTGTATGTGTGTAAACAAATTTTTGTCGTACGGTTTCTCAAAAATGAACCAACCAATTGAATTCTACGACACGTCATTCGAAAGGGTTTATCAAAACTTAGATCTGAGTAGATTTGAGAGTTAATCCATCGAGCCATTCCGAAGAAATTAAAAAAAAAAGAAAAAAAAATTTGAATTGTTATGTTTTCCAAAAATAACTTTAAAGCGTGTGAAAAAATCATAATAAAACCATATATACATTTTTTTATGCTTAAAAAACTGCGTCGAATACTTTTTTTAAAATGAAAATCGAACGACGCATTCAAAGTTACAAATGAAAACCTACAAGAATAGATTTTCTTTTTGTGCTTTAAAAACTGTGTCGAATGCTTTTTAAAAAAACAAAATCGAACGACGCATTCAAGAGTTATTTGTTGTTCCATAAATATATTTTGAGCTCTTCGACAAACACATTTAAAAGCACTTCAAATTCAAACTTAGCGGGAAGTTCTAGGATTGGCCTGCGCGGTCAACCGATTTCCAGATTTTTTAATTTACATCTTTACAGCCCTGATTCAGAAAAATGATTTGAAATGATTACCTTCATGTTAATTGTATATCTATAATTTTACACTCGGGTTAGAATGTCCTACTTTTCTCCCTCGGTGCGTAATATACTATTATAATGGCCCAGGGACTGTTTTCTCTTTAAATTGTCTAATTCTATGAATAACTTATAATAATGTAATTACAAATTTAATTTTAGCACACCTCATAACGCGAGGCGTTTGAACTTGTGCTTTACTTTCAATTAACGAAAATCGAGCCATTTTTTTAAATTAGAATTAAAATCGTCTAAAAACCGTACTTCAATTTTTGTTGCAGGATTTCAGTTCTTGGGGTTCTATTGGGAATAATTCCTTGGGATCGAAGCATTACTTGCACTCTACTATTATGGAATTATATCCTTGGTTACCTCATCATATTTATTATAAGTTTGGGCGTCGAATTAGCTATATGTATTTTATCCAGCCGAGGAAGTATTCTTGACACTGCAGTTCGCGCTCCAATCAAGCATTTTATTTACAGTAAACTTTGTAAGTATTAGTTGACTTATCTTTATGAAATCAGTAGATTACTTACAAATAAAATATTTCTGAACAATCAAATATAACAAATGATACCTAATTGTTAATATATCATTGAAATTTTCTTTTTTTATTACTTGACACATCATGTGCGCCATGCAGGCCTTCATTATTTCAAAAGTTCCGCCATAAGCATCAACCGAATAGAAAGATTACAGAAATGAAGTCGAGTCCAGCCAAATAATTTTTTAGAGAAGGATTAACCTTTTTTTTTAATTGAAATCAATGAAACATTAGTAATTAATTAATTTTTTTGAAAAATTAATAATTTAGGACAATAATTATCTTGAAAATTCAGTAATTAATAAAAATTGGTAAAATTTGTAGTTAAAAATAAAATTATTAGTAAAATAAAAAAAAAAAAATGAGCAATTAATAGCGATGTCATTTAACAAAAACACCATTTTTGCCGATCACTATGAATAATATACATGTATATTACAATACACAATTGAAAAAATACTCCCCACGATTGATTTTCACTCCAAGGGTAAAAATCAATCGAATTTTATACATATAAACCTTAAAAAAGCGCTTGATGTAGAGTGAATAAAAAAAAAGTAATGAAAGAAAGAAAGGTGAGAAAAAGCAGATAAAAAAGTAGTGATGATTTACGACGGATGTTAATTAATAGTGAAAGTGAATAGAAAACGGTCAGATCGATTTTGAGTAAAAAGGTGAGTAAAACAAGGATTCGAATCCGATATTGTTTGCACCGTTTATCGCGGATATGAAATAGGAAATGAAGATAGAACTAGCATGAGTAACAAGAATAGGAAATTAAAGAATATGGAAATTGGCTCATATAGATAATGTGGTGATGCTGGTCGATAATGAGCGAATAATGAATATGTTGTTAATAAAAATAATATAGTCGAAAATTCCAGTGTTTGAAAAAAGAGGAACAGAAAAAATAAAAAAAGGTCTATCATTACGGAGAATAGAAAAAAGTTAAAATATACGTTTTGAGATTGTGATTAAAAAAAAAAAAAAAAAAAACGACAACGAAAGCGCAGGTTAAAGAAAAAATTTAAATATCCAAAAAAAGCTTTATAAAAACTATAATATTGACTTCATCAACGTCAATATGAAAGTTTCGGGACACCATTCTTCTAGTTAGTTTTTTAGAAAATTCATTGTAACTAATCGTACTACTCAAATATTGTTATTAAAAGAAGGATTTAGATTTTATGAATATTAAAAACGAATTATAAAAATAAACATTAATTTAATCTCATTAAATTGATATTAGTTATGCACAAAACTCAATTATGTCAACTAATTTAAAAATATTTTTACATTAATGTCTTTCTTAAAAGTTAATAGAATCTTTTATCAGTGTTTGAAAAACACATTTATTTATATTAAATTTTTTCCCGAAAAAAATTTTGTTAGATCTACATAAGTCTAATTTGATCTGATCAGGTCTACACGGATTTGAAGCTTGAAGAAAAATATGAGTTAGTTTGGATTCAAATAGGCTGAATTATATTTAGACAAATCATCGCATTTGAGCTTAGAAGATCTAAAATCTTAATAGATTTTTCAAATGATCAAATTAAATTTACATATTAGGCTAATAAGATTCTTTGAGTCACTTTTTATTTTTATACTTTACTTCCAGGTCTTTTGCTTATCGAAACAGGATGGCTTTGTGCTGGTAGTACATGGCTAGTTTATTACTATAAAAATTGTTCTGCGGTTAGTGAAGCAAAAGATGTTACGTTGGGTAAGCCGAAGTTAATTTATTGATTTTATATTTTCCATAATTGCAAGTAATTCTTATTTTCATGCTTGTATATACTCTACTGATTTTAATGCTTTCGTAAAAACTATATTAAAACTCAGAGTTTTGATTTTCTTTAAACGTATTCTCTCATTAATATATCAAAGGCCGATAAAAAGTCAATTCTCCAAATTCAGACCTACTCTGATAGAAAAATTAGCTTAACGTAGTTCCAGCGTGGTATAGTATAGTCAGAGCATTTACTATGGACAAAAATTTAAAAGCCTCGGCACACAGACGTTCACAAATACAATTACATATTGTTAGTCTAGTGATCTGGCAACGTTGCTCTTGAAAACCATGAAAGATTTGAATTTCCCGCTTTTTATGCTACACTATTTCAGGAAGCGTTGCGCACGGCGTTGCCAAATCACTATAAGTTGTTAAGTGAGCAGGTTAGAAATGGATTGAAATTTATTTTTTAAAATTATTATATCTCGATAACAAAACGGTGAAGTGCTATTTTTATTTTTAACTTCCCGCTAAAAATTTCAGATTTTCAAAAATCGGGAAGTTATTGTTTTCACCCCGTTTTACAAAAATCGAGTTTTCATCAGATTTCGACGTTTGAAGGTCACAGAAAGCTTCCCTGACTATTTTTACGATGATGTCCGTACGTCTGTATGTGTGTGTGTGTGTGTGTGTGTTTTCCCCTTTAGGGGTGGGGGGGGGGGAATCCTTTTTACGGATTCTAGGCATAGATGTTGGCCCGGATATGTGGCGACTCGACGCAGCATCATACTAAAACTTGACGCTGACGCCCCTACCCACTAAACCCTAAACCCCTTTCTCTTCTATCCTCTGATCCCCCATGGTACCGCCGTAAGGCATTTCTTCGCGGGGGGAGGAATTAGCTGCCGCTCTTCCTTCTGGTGGCTAAGATGTTATCTTCCTTCTAGATTCTGTTTTTTGCTCTTTTTCTCTCGATGGAACGCAGCTCTGTAAGCACTTCTGTGGCAAAAGTGTTCGTTGCATTCCAGGCAGCTTCTGAAGACAGCATTGCTTCTACGATTGTCTCTGGTTGAATTGTCTTCTTCAGGATCTTCTCCAGCTCCTCACGTTGTTGATTGAAACGCGAGCACTCGAAAAAAACGTGCTCTGCACCTTCAGTGGCTTCAGGGCAGGACGGGCACTCCGGAGAGTCGTCATGCCTAAAGCGGTGAAGATAAGCCCGAAAGCAGCCATGTCCTGACAACATCTGTGTTAGGTAGTAGTTGACCTGACCGTGATTCCGGTTCAGCCAAATGTCGATCTCTGGTATGAGACGATGCGTCCATCTACCCTTCTCTGCGACATCCACCTGAGATTGCCATTGTGCGATGCTGTGCTGTCTTTGTTCCGTTCTAAGTTCTTCTGCGCTCAGTGTTGTTGAACTCTTTCGTTGGTAAAGGTTCCGTCTTTCGTCAGCTAGGACTCTGAGAGGTAGAGTTCCAGAAATGACGAACACTGCTTCCTCAGATATTGTGCGAAAGGCGCAAGCTACTCTTAGGGCACTCAGACGATATACTGCTCCAGCCTTTCTCCATGCTTCTTGTAATGCTAGCGCATCAGCCCAAATCGATATTCCGTACGTAAGCACTGATGTGACTACAGTGCCAACAATAGTCTCCTACTCTGCGTTGGCCCTCCGACGTTAGGCATCAGTCGTGCTAGACTAGCCCTCACTACTGATGCTTTAGCACTGACATGCTCCACTTGCTGCTTGAAATTGAATCGGGCATCAAGCATCACTCCCAGATATCGGATATAAGGTTGTGATGTGATTTCATGTTCGCCGACTTTCAGCTTAATGGTCTCTACCACTTTTCTACTAGTAATAAGTACTGCCTCAGTCTTATGGTGCGCCAGTTGCAGGTTCACTGCGTCCATCCACCGGTTAACGCACTCAAAAGTGAGATCAAATATATGGTTTATCTCGTCAAGGTGTTTAGAACAATCACTACGGCTACGTCACCTGCATATGCTACGATTTTGACGTTTATTGGCAGAGTTAGTTTTAATAGACCGTCATACATGATATTCCATAGGAGCGGGCCTAGAACTGAACCTTGTGGTACACCTCCAGTAATATCATACTCCCTCGAACCGTTCTTCGTGTCATACTTCAGGACCCTATCTTCAAAGTAGCTTGTTACGATCTTAAAAAGGTATTCTGGTACATTCTTCTCTTGGACGGCCTGCATGATGCATTCCCAATTGGCAGAGTTGAAGGCGTTTCTGATGTCTAGGGTCGCCACCAGACAATACTCTTTCGTTCCACCCTTCCATCTGGTTCCTGCGATTGCTTCCTTGGCCGCCGATTGATCTTGCGTCCTCAGCTAGCCGATCAAGGAAGTCTTCAAACTGTTTATTAGAGAGACTAG